TTATATTATAAGTCCTTTATAGTCATTTTACACAACCGCTCATATTAAAAAGCACTTCTAATAGTTTTACAGGCAAACACTAAATTGCTTTTTTTTAAAAGTACTTATCTAAAAGCTCCCGCCAGAAGCTGCTTCTGCAAAAGCTACAGCAGGGCCAAACTAAGCTATTGAGCTTGAGCCACCGCTTTAATCAAAACTTCCTTCCCTACTTGTGACATAGTTCTGCTTTTCCAATCCTTAAGTTTTTTCCGAACCCTTTCCTTAATCTCCTTAAAGATAACCTTCTTTGATCCTCCCACCACAGTGGGAAGACCAAGATATTTAGAATGTTTATCCACCTCTTTGATACCCAGGGTGCCACAAATCTCTAGTCTCCTGCTTATCCTCACATTTTTGCTGAAGGAAAGCTCAGATTTAGAAAAATTAACCTGCTTCCCCGATTCTCTAGTATAGATATTCAAGATCTCTCTAAGTTGATCACATTTTTGTAGCATAGCTTTTTCAAAGATAACACAGTCATCCGCAAATAGAAAATGTGAGATAGTAGGAGCTTTCTTTCTAATCTAAATCCCATGCATCGCCTTTGATTCAATAACTGGTTTTGAAGAAATGACGAACCGTCTAAGCATATAGTTTAAAGTTAAAAATACTTCCTACAATTTTCGTCGTAAATATATTTTTAAAGTTCCCCTTTTCTTTTTCCACGCAATTTGTCCGTCAGTTGGCTTTCATAAGTCCTTGGGTTCAGCTTAAGCTACACTCAGAGGCTGAGACAGCCGTGCAGTACGTGCATCAAATCAAACGAACGATAGAAAGAAAGAAAGGTAAAGAAGGAACTAAAAGAGCGATGGAAATACAGCAACCATGGCGGTCGAGATTGTCCTTCAAGAGCACTACGAGAGTACTGAGATATGAACTAATTAAGGCGATTATTTTCTTTCCAGCATGATAGAAGAAATTGCCTATTGCATTTCTGTAATCTGTACATTCCCAAACCTGGATTCGTATTGTTCTCTTGTTTTCTTAAACTAGTCTACTCTTGTATCTAACGCTTCTCTTAGTATTGCACTCACAATTGAGGCAACATACCTATCCCTCGAAGCTTGCCCGAAAGAAGGCTATACTTGTAAACGATGATAAAATGTCACCACTTGTAGTAGTTGTAATGTATAATATGGATCTCAAAGAGCATCTCAATAGTATCAAATCTGTCATGAAACCAACTATATGTATGGTTCTTTTGCCAATCTAGTGATTGAAGTGAAAGTATAAGACCCTTGGAATGCCATGGATAATAATTTTACTAAATTTCAAACTTTACTTGTCCCTAAATAAAATGAACGATTAATATCATTGATCACACAATAATGAAGTTTTCAGGACCAGAAAACGGCCAACAAGGATGTTTTTGCCTTTTGTATACGCATGATGTATAAAAGCTTTCTTCTCCAACTCCGAAAGAAGTACCACTACCTATATACAAGGCTTCTGGTACAAAATGCGTTCATACATTGCTGCGCTACAAGTATACATGAACCTTGTGACAAGCGTCTGGCTAGTGCAGTTTCATCGTCAGCAGCATCTCTTCTGACATCATCCAGCACTTGCAGAAGGCAGTCACAAATGTCAGTTTTCCACAGTTCTGTCTCGGCATCTGAATTGCTCTGAAGCCAAACTAAAATTACAGGGAGCAAAAACCCCCGACTTTGGTTAAGATAATCCAGAACCACTTAACTATAATATATCCGAATGGATGCAAGGGAAGTTGCGGCATTTAAAGCAAAATGATTGAAGTCCAGAAAAAACGCAGGTTCTGGTACAAGAAACAGCAGTCAATCCAGTAAGGCGGACCGTTACCCACCTGCAAAAGAAAAGTTGAACTGAGAATCGACATCTACAGGTATAGCATAGGAATTACATTAAGTAACAGCACAGGAATGCACCATTTCAGCATAGTAGCAACAATACAATGAGAGCAGGTAACATGGTCAATACTCTAAAACCATGGACCAATCAAAACATGCTGCTCTAACTTTAGAAGCCTGGATAAAGCAGAGTTTTTCAAGAGCGTGACTGTAAATTGTAAGCACAACAGACATTGTAAAGTTTCATCAGGCTTGAGCTTTACATCTTTGAGCTAAAGCAGGATCCTTTTATGAATAGCCCAGATCTTAGTTTCAAGTTCCCAACTAAACTTCCTTCCAATCAGAAGCCTGGACTCATCGCACCACATTTGGAAATAAATTGCAACTGAAACTTAAGCTCGCTTACACTTGAAAACTTGTAACGAGTTTAAACTCTAATAAGAAACGGAACCTAGTACTATGAGCATATTATGCCCATAGATAGATGACTAAACCGTTATTCAGGCTAGTCATTGTCAAACGACTGTATCTTTCTTGATGATCGTTTTCACAAAGCTCAAACATAGGATGTGGTGGATGCTATCATTCCCACATTACCACTAGACTCCGCCACTTGGGTTGTCAAAGAACTATCTTTGGTTGAACGGCCAAACCCAAGTCTACAATGCAGGTACCAGAAGGAAGATAGAAGGTCTCTAAAAGCAGTCTATGATAACAACTTATTTATCAGTTCCAAACAATCAATTCTCATTTCCATAGCTGACATAGAGAATTCTAGCTTCCTATCGAAACTGATGAAGATGTTCTGAGAGATCTAACAGGACTCTCCAAGCACTAGTTCCCTAAAAACACAACAAAACTGGTGCATTTATTTGCAGACTGAACTAAGGAAATATCAGGTTGACTAAGGAGGTGCAATGAGCCATTCAAAAGAGAGGGAGAATATGTTAGCTACTAGAACAGTGCAGGAAAAAAAGGAAAGCTACTAGAACGCACTACAACGGCTGAAAGCTAATGAAGAGGGTTGTCCCATTAATACCAAATGGTGAGTCGTCTTTTATAGTAACGGTCTCCTTTGTCGACAATCATGTTTAGCAATAGATAATAAGTCTTTCGATGGACAAAATCTGGTGAAAGCAGTGGGCTTATCAGAGACAAGTAAAAGGTCTAGTTTAAGGAACTAAACTTCTATAATAGAAAATAGAATTGCCACTTCTATTGTTTATTTTGCCCCCTTCAAACACAAGGAGATAACTCACTTACGAGCACAGATAACATATTTCAGCCTAAACTATTTCAGAAAAGACCCAAAAAAGAACTAATCGAAGTAAAGTAGCTGAACATATGACAGGCTATTCTTCCTTATCCAAATTTATTAGACTATAAAGTTGTATGATCTGTAATAAGGATTGCTTATACAATCATCTTCGCACAGCGACTATTAACAAATTCATAACATTAGTAAAAGTGATGGAAGTTAATAATCTCATGGTTTGAGTTTTTATGACTTGAATAGGATGACTACGTATCAATTTGGAGGTTAATATATTTAGTCACCAATGACGTAAACGGAGTAAGCTAACACTTGAGGGGATCTGAAGTCATTTACGTCAAACTATCATATACTGAAACGAAGCATGTAACTGAATGGGCAAATCCATGAAACCATGCCAAAGTGGTAAACAGGACGCGTGAGAAAAACACACTTGTAAAGCTACTACTCTTCTGCTCCCTGCTGAGTACACAGTTCATCACTAAGTCCAAAAAGAACACCCTGAAACTTACAACTGCTACAGAAAAGGAAGCACCACAGTCAATACCACTACAAGGGCTTGAGACTATACAGCTTATAACACTCAATAGAACACATGTAAGTGCACAACACAGCTTGTCAATCAATGACAGGCGAGGGAATTGAGAAAGTCCAGCGACTTTCACTCAGATATTAAAGACATTAAACATATACTAAGAACAAGGCTCGATATTAAGATTAAAAACAGAGGGAGGCGTTAGGACAGTAGGGACAAATTGAACAAACTGATCAACAACAGAGCACAGCCTTTTGCACTGAAATAAAATGATCACCAATGAGTATGCAAACAACCACTAAGGTGACTGACAATTAATTAATAGTGCAAGTGTTCGGCACTATTCCTTACCAAATTTCCGCTAATTACACGGGGTTACTGTTCACTGAAGGGTTTTTTTCCTGTGGCCGCATTTATGTTGAGATGTGTTCCCCTAAATTCTTTCTCACTTGGCTAACCAAGCACCTCCTTTCATTTCACTTTCTTCTCAATCTAGGCCTGGATATATATCATATAATTACTCAATCCTTATTACTTAATTTCCTTCTTATTAGTGTTCGCCCAACTGTACAATGAATTGGGCTGCTCAACAAATTGACATTTTAAGTAGATCTTAATATTCATTATGTAAGGGGTACATGACACCATTCTACAACTGTAACCTAAAATATAAATACATTACGTTAAGGGTAAAAAAGAAAAGTTACTATATAACATTACGTATCATAATGTCAATATATATTAAATAAAAACATGACATACGTTACGTAACACCATTATGCAACAGTTAGGTAACACATAAATATGTTACATAAAAGTTAAGGAACGAAATTTATCTATTATGTAACAATTGAACAAATGTGCTACGTAGATCTTCGTAGTGGCTTTGCACTTTATATACCTCATTACGTATAAAAAACTATCTTATGTAAGATTTACGTAAAATTATTATGTAAGGCAAACACATGTTACATAAGTATTATAATAAACTTCACACTTTGTGTAATGTGATTTGGGAAACCTACTAAAGGTTGCAAAACAACAAATATTTCTTATGTAATAGTTGAACAAATGTGTTTGTAAAGCTCCATAGCGCCTTTTCACTTTACGTAACTCATTACGTAAAAATGCTATTGATCATGCAAGACTACGTAATGTCATTCTACACGTTGGACAAGAACCACAACCACAACAAAGCAGGCGCTAGATTACGATTCTCTGATTGTTAAAAGTATAAAAATGGGCAGTTTGAAAATTAATCAGTGTACCTGAATTACTCAGTCTCCATAACTAGCTGCTTCAACACATAGAAAGTCAGTTCCAAGCTTCAATTGCAAATAGCAAGTTTGCCCGTTACTTCATCTGCAACCCCATAGTCAAGACTTATCTCCCGCAAAGGAGGAATGTTCTCAGTTGCGAAAATCATAAGGTGGGGGAACATCAGATTATTATGATCATACAACACAAACTGCACCATTACATTTGGAGCTGTGCTGTGGCTCATGTAGCAAGCAACATTCCTCATTCTAGATACATCCATCGCAAAATCCAAAGGCGGGAGAGCAGGATATGTTGGAGGAACATAGTCAGGATAAATACGAGATAAATCTCCCCATTCTGCCCATCTACTTGAAAACCGACTTGGATAAATCAATGTATCACCACTCATAGCAAAAATCTCAGCTTGCTCTCTCGTGAGTACAACTCCTGCATACTCACATACAAACGAACCTGCATGTATCAAATCCAATGACCTAACTCCCCAGCCTGTTTGCCTGGACCTGAACACTTCCATTCTATTTCTCAAGCCTCTCTGGCTTACACGATTGCGACAGCTGGGTGGGCATTTGCAAAAGGGTCCACATTCAAATATCAAGGGCTTTCCCCTCACCAGAAATCCATGTTGGTCGTAAGCAAAGTCACCACCATTCTTCATCGCACAAAAACAACCATCCACACAGCCCGAAACGCAATCACACCCAGTTCCACTACTTCCAGTGTTGCACAAGTGAGGGGGAAACAGAGCCTTTGGAAGGTAATCATGGTGCAACGGATCCCCAAAATTATCGATATCATTAAACACCATGACAGGGACAAGTTCTTTTCTATTCGAGATATCAAGATGTATATACCCAGTTGGCCTCACGCTCAATGGCTTAGCCCTCAAGCTCCCTGCAAATTTCAGAATTGCACTACCCATTTCCTTCTGTCCTTCTATCCTAGACAGCTTAAACTTGTAGACACCAAATCCTGATTTTCCCACATCAAACCAGCAGTCGTGAATCTTGTATAAACCATCATAGACATAAATCTTGCTACTAATACTCCCTTCATATTTAAACCCCCTGATAACTCTTACCTCAATTCCATAATACATGCTACGCTCCATGGCTAAGTTCCCTCCTTCAAGCTTCTGATGAACACAATGCTTCCCAAACTTGTCCTGCCCTCCATGCCCAGTATAGGTTATCTCGTCTCCGGCGTCTTCATCATCTTCGTAGCCCCCAGAAACAATTATACTGGTGGCGATAGGCTGCCCATTTGAGCTCTGGCTCATAGGTAGGTAGTCAATTCCTGCTTGAGGTATGCCATGGAGCCCAAGCACACACAATTCCATCCTGAAGAAGAAGACATCCCCAATCTCAATCCCAGGAATAGGACCCACGATTCGCTTATCACGATTGATCCAAAGCCCACGGTCCCTCATCACTGAGGCCGCCAGTAGATCCCCACGAGGCTTTCTGAAGGCGGGACCCACAGCGCTGAGTCGCTTCTGTTCCTCTGCGACGGCGAATACGCGAAACGAGTCGAACAACAACCGAGTGCTGCGAACCATCTCCCTGAAGTACCGCTTATCCTCAATCTGAAGGTCCGTTACCCGAACGAGCTCCGAGGAGCGCTTCACGTACTTCCGCTGCGGCCGAGGCACCAGGATCGGGGAAACCTGATTCTCAGTGTCGACGGGCACAATCGCACCAGCGTTCGGGTCCAACGCCGTGACCTCGTCGCCGTACTGCTGATGTTGCTGCTGCTCCAGGCGTTTAGCGAAAGCCGCCAGGAAGAGCTCCGAGATTCGGTGGTACTCGGAATAGACATTATCTTGTTCGGTGGAGACGACGGCGGACTGGGGGAGAGAGGTATTTTGGGGATCGGAATAAAAGTTAAGAGGGGCGGGGTCCTGGAAGTAATCGTCGTCTGGTTCCTGGAGCGGCTGGGCTTCAATTGGGCTCTCGTCTAGCGGCTCGAGCTTGGGCTCGATTTTGGGAACCTTCAGGAAATTGGGAGTTGACGTTGTAGCACCGCCGGAGGCGCTGGTGTTGCCGTTGCCGTTGCCGTTACCGACGGCCGGAACCGGAGAGAGGTTGAGGTCTTGAAACGGGACGATCTCGCCCATTTCTTTACCGATGTGATTTTTGTACAGAAGTAAAAATAATCAGCAAGAAAAGATAGGGAAGGGGAGAAACGAAACGGGTTCGTCTTCGTCGGAGGCTGCTCCTCTTTCTTGTTTGCTAGCAGAGAAGAAACCAGAGAGATTATCTCACCATGGCGACAGGCCGACGAAACGGAGCTGGAGAAATGGGGAAGTGAGCTTTTTTTTTTCACAGAGATGAAATGCGGACATAATTTCTTGCAAAATCTACTTTATTTATTATTAATTATTATTTTGAAAACAAAGACATCACTTGTATGCAATGACGAAACCAGCCTTGGGCCTCAGCTACCCAACCACCGTTGATTGGGGTGATTTTAGGGTTGTTATATTTTCAACGGTGGAAAATAAAATTTGGAGTTCAAGATAATATAGAGTCAACTAAAGGGATCAATAATATTTTATTTATTATTGTTGTGAATTTGTTGAATTAGTTTAGACATTTTATTTATTAAATGCTTGAATCGATCTGATTATATATGTGAGTTATCGAGTGAATTGATCTAAAAAACTCTAACAACAATTCCCGAGTTAGAATTTAGCTTGTATATGCAACTGTGATATGTTTGAATAAGATATGAATGACCGTATTTGTAAACACTTAAGAAAAGTTGTGCAACCTTGATTCTTAAGACATTTTTTTGTCATGTGAGGTGATAATAACATTTTAAAGATCCAAAGGGTTGTTTGGATTATAGATTTCATAAGATCATTTGATTCAATTCCATCAAAATTACTATAAACACCTTTGAAGAGTTACTCTTTATATGCACAAATATTAAGAGCACACATCTCGCTAACATAATCCAACTTGCTTTCACACATATGCACATTGTGTCTCATCATATCACATCATATTTTCATTTTATTTCTTTCTTTTTTCGTCATATTTCTCTCTCTTCACATTTTTTTCTACTTTATCAACTATTATTATTTACCCGTCCATCTTATTTTATCTGTGAGATCATATGCTTAAATCTAATCTTTATGAAGATTCTTAAACCAATAATAGCCATAAGATCAATTTAATGAGATATATTGAAAATACACATAAAGGGTAATTTAGGGAGAAGAAACATTTAAAAACCAATTGAATAAAACAAAAATTCAAAAATGGTAACAAAATTATTAACAGATAGTCTAAAAATATTCATAAATAAATAAGGTTGATGTTTCGGTACAAAACCGACTCATATGTAGAGTTCCAAAATCTCATTTACTACAATTGACACATATTTTCAAGGAGAAAGTAATAGACTTTTTCAATCTCCAACAATTTTCAATGGACCATATCTCATTCATTTAAACTCAAATTTCAAGAAAAAAAATTAGTAGAAAAATCATACTTGTTGTGCTCTACAAGATGACATCCATTTTGATATTTTTTTAGCAGAAATATCATGTTATATTACCATTTACCACTATGTTAATATATAATATGATGATTTTATGCAATCTTACCATAATTGTGAGATGATATAATGAAGTCCTACCATTGTGAACTGATGTGTGTATGACGCTGGTGAGAAAGTGAAGCCTTATCCATTTTGATGTTTTTAGCAAAAAAAATAATGTCGTCTTACTAGTTACCACTATCATATGATTATTATATCATCACTATGGTAATATCATGATATGGCAGTGACACGATGGTGTTGTGCAGCCTTGCTATAGTAGTAAGATAATAATATGAAATTAGTGAGATTTTATTATGGAGTCTTACCATAGTGATATGATGTGAGTATGACTGTGGTGAGATAGTATCATTATAATATCGTGATATAACAGTGTTATGATGGTGTAGCCATGAATTTAGTTAAGATAGGTCCTAAGTGAAAAAAAATATTCATATTTTACTATGATCCACAACGTGTTTTCTTATTAAGAGAAAGTATCTAAAATAAATACATCACCCAAACTACTAAATATAACACTCTCAATATATCCTACCAATAAATCATTAATGATTTCACCACTCATATGATTCCGAATAGTGTGCTTCATGTAGTTTATTGCTGAAAATGATCTATTAAGAAAAGTAGCAACAAATCATTAATGATTAACACTTGCAGTGGTGCTAGGTAGCAACAACACCAACTTCTGAATTTAATGCACTAATGGAAACACTCTTATGATTTTTTTGGCACAACCATTTCCCTTAAAATTTTAGCAATTGCATTTAATCCTGCAAAACCTCTCAACTATCTTCTTATAAAATATATAAGTATCCACATTATTTACGAGAAATGTCAAAGAGAAAACGACATTAGAAAAGAAAGAATACCACAACCCTCTTACATCCTTCAAAACAAAAAGATTGGGGTTGTTTGGATGAGGAATTGTAACGGATCAATTTGACACAATTGTCTCATTTTGAAACAATTGCACCAAATTGCCTCGTTTGTCATCAAAAAATTTGGATGGATCAATCTGCCTGAGGTATTTTGAATTGATCCGTTTTGAGTCAATTTCAATTACCTGGGGTGGGGGCAGATAATTCGAATTGACTCGTTTTAATTGCCTCATTTATAAAACGAGACAAAAATTGATCAAATTGACTCATTTCTAGTTTGATCCATCCAAACGACCCTAAAAAAACCAAGTGATGGTGGTTGGAGGAGACGAAGGATTTTGTTTTTCTGACATGGGTGACAGCCAATTGGGTCTCCAAGGCCTTGAGTTTGCCTCCCAGTTCAGAGACTCATTCTCCCAATGTAGTAATCGAGCCTTCAACTAGATGGACGTCGTTAGGGATGTCAGTTTGGATCGCCACCTGAGGAGTCTCTAGATTAGCTTTGAGAGATTCAATCCTTTCCTTGCCTATAGTTGGTTTAGGACCACCTATGGAATCATGCTCTAATACCAAATGTTGAAACTTGGTAATCAGAGGTGTGATTGTCTTCTTCTTATGGCGAGAACCTGCCAGTGTAGAACTCCGACTTTTCTACTAAATAAATTTGTTGCCTTTTATCCTTTTCAATCATCGTTATATAGAGGAGAAAGCTTACGAAATTGTGATCTGGTTCACAGAAATTTGATACCTTGATCTCTACGATTTGGAGAATCAATTACTTGATCTCCCTACACCTACTCAATAAAGAAAAGATCCTCCCAGTAACAAGCCAAACAGAGGTAATCCATCCCGCACCCCTTTTTGAACCAAGAATGTATTAAATTTGGTTTCGTTCGATTTGACACTAAGTCAGTTCAAATCGAACGACAACTTAACTTAAGTAAAGTAATTGATAATTAATCTCAAACAAAATCTCTGGCGGGGAAAATATTATGCGAATTATCTCATAGTACCTAAAAACAATGGACATTTTCCCTTCCCCTCTTCCCAAAATAACAAGGAGGAAAATCATAAAATGAGAAAAGAAAAAAGAGTTTGGGAATTGACCAAGTCAGGAAGAGGAAGATGCATGCAGCAAGTGGATTGTGGAGTTTGTTCTAACAACAAAGAAACTACTCCCCCCCAAATTTAGCTCCACAAAAGCTATTCCTCCATCTTTCTATTTGCCTATGTTGCCTGCCTTCAACCAAATTTGGGAGGAGGGTACATTTGCTAATTTTCCTCCCCTTTCTCCATTTCTTGGCTTGGGGAGAGAAACCCCCCAAGACCCAACAAAAGCAAACAGAAATTAGGACAAACAATCAGGAGGGAAAAAAAACGAAAGGAACCCATCTTTGCCTCCCTCCTCCCAGAAACAAGAAATCAAAATCCAAAACACCTCTGGACCTCTGTATTTCAGCAATACAAGCCCTGCCCTGCCTCGACCCCTGCTGTTATCTGCGCTGAGGGGGGGTTGATGGTGGCGATTGACGGCAGCAGCTTGGCAAAATGGGAAGCGACACGACGGCGATGAGGAAAGTCATGGTGGTGGTCGACCCCAGCAGGGAGGCGGCCGGGGCTCTGCAGTATGCATTGTCCCACGTTGTCACCGAGAAAGACGAGCTGATCTTGGTCCACGTCGAGACCCAGAACTCGTGGAAGAGCACCTTCACCTTCTCCTTCCTCCGGAGGACCGGCATCTCAATCCCCGCCGTCAACAACAACAACAACAACAACAACATTAACAACGGCAACAATCAGTCCTCATCGGCAGCAGCGGGAGGGGAAGGGATGGCAGAGGGAGAGGTCGATTTCTTGGAAGCCATGAGGCAGCTGTGCGAGGCGGCCAGGCCGCGGCTGAAGGTGACGGTGGAGAGGCTGCAGATGGGAGCCAAGGACAAGGCCAGCGTCATCCTCTTCAAGAGCACCGCCATGGGCGTCGACCATCTCATCATCGGCCAGAAGAAGAGCCTCTCCAGCGTCTTGTTAGGGTGAGTCATATGACTGAATGTAGCAAAATATTTTGCTTCACAAAGGATTCGTTTTGTTGCCACCAAACCCCATTATATGCATTACTTAACTCTGTGTTCATCGAAATGAAACCAGGAACACGAAATACAAGAAGCCGGGAGGGCTAGGGCCGAAGTCACTGGACACGGCAGAGTATTTGATCGAGTACAGCAAGTGCAACTGCGTGGGAGTTCAGAAGAGGGGACAAACTGGAGGCTATCTTCTCAATACCAAGACCCAGAAGAACTTCTGGCTCCTCGCATAACATATATACATGAATCACAATGTATGTAATTTTGAAGGCATTCAAATCATCAATTTCATGTTTGATAATTGAAGTTTTCTTAAACCCTAAAAATACTATTTTTTCTTCTTCTTCATTTTTCATTTCTCATTGAACTCAGTGAGGAAATATATTTGTTCTGTTTTGCCCAAAAACAACAGAATCACACTCAATTACTTGGGATGATGACTCGGGAGAATCTGCATTTTTTAGTTGATTCTCACCCTTTGTTCAAAACCTTAACAACAATCAATGAATCTATGGTTGTGCATGTAAATGTTCTGTTTTTTCTCATTCCTTTTCTTCCCCACTTTTTTTTTACCAAGTGAAAATGGGAGTTGTAAGTGTCTAACAACAGAAATGGAACTCTAACTTACATAATTGTTTTGTATTTACCTTGATCTCGTTTTCCTTGTTCCCAAAGGATTAGGCTAAATATGCATATTTCAAACTCGAGACAGGAGTGATCTAAATGATTCGACCATAAACTGAACATTTCCGGGTAAGGGTGTATCACTCAAAGATTAGAGCCCAGGAAAAAAATAAAGATGAAGGAAGAAATTTGTACCCCTAGGAATTCTAAAGTTCATCGTGCATGCCTGCCTCAATGGACTTTGTCTTTGCGGATATGCATTTTGGGGAATTCGAGCATGATTCTTAATGCCTTCTTCAACTGCTTCGCATCTGAAGTCCCCTTTTCCAGCCATCCCGGCCTTAAGTGCAGCAATTACCGTTCTTTGCAGCCTGAGTAGTCCAATGCATTTGTGAACAAGAAGAACCCCATTGCAATTACCAATGTGTAAAAAAACGATCCAAGAACTATTAGTCTTGGTGTAACAGACAAAATTGTTGTCTACCTCCACAGAATACATAATCCACCTTTTTTCCTCAGAGTACCTGTCGATAACATCATGTCGTTGCATAATGGATAGTAGGTTTCTTGTTCGCATCAACAATGAGCGAAAACCCTTGTACTCACTTTCAGCCTTTCTTCTCAACACCCCCGTAGATTCATCTGCAAACCCATATGGACACAGTCAGTGGCATGGTCAACCGACATGGGAGGAAGGATACGTTCAAGTGCAATTACACATTCAAGATCACACTCCATGCAACATTGGATATAGCACTAATCACTTTATGATTACAAAGACAACTGCCTGTAGAATGCATAGAAACTGCACACAGAATGCCTTGGCGTGAAAAGTTACAAGGAACGCTTTCGTTTGACATGGAACAACATATTTAAAAGCCAGGAAATAGCCACGGCTAACCACCACATGCCATCATAACAAAGAGGCTTTTGAGTATAGGCGACATTGTGTAAGAAGTTCTTATATTAGCTGCAGATACATACAAAACAAAAGGAATAACAAGAACAAGCAAAGACCAAAAGAAGAAATAAAAAAACCTACCGAAAGTCATAAGTGTGTTAGAACTTCTTTCCACCTCCTGAAACAAGGAACAAGAAAGAAATCCAGATAGCAAGCTAGAGCTACCCCTACCACTATAATTTTTCACACGAGATTGGAAGTAGGGTAAATGAAAAGGCAGTTAACCTGAACCATAAGTTGTCGAGTGCGTCTAAGGATTTCCGTAATGCTTTCTGCTCTGCAGATGTCATCCCAGCCTTTTTCCTGGAAGAAGTTAGTTATTATGTTAGTCATTGCCAATTTGGATGAACCAAAACATGACGAGAAATGAAAACTGCATCACTCAATTGGCCATCTCAGTGAGCTGTTGCATACTGAAGATTTCGCCTGCGTGCTGTGGACTCTTCTCCACCTCCCAAAAGCAATTTTCTCTGTGAATGCAGAGAACCATGTCAAATCAGACCTCATCAATATGCTAGAATTTCACTAACATCAATAGTTATGAGGTTATATGTGGGCATTCTAACTACCTCAGGTATAACAAAAGTCAATATACAAGAGCAACAAGCCATTCATGGATTCTCCCCTCTCAAGTAAAATGAGTTGAAAGTAAAAGACGAGTACCTCATCCTGTGCAGCCTTCCTTATGTTAGCCTTCGCTTGCAAATTAGCATTGCTCAAACTCAACCGCAAGCTGCGGAAGAAATCAATAAGAACCCCCATAATCAATGACTACTGTGATCTCTCAATTCATAATTCTATGGTAAGAACCAAAACCACAGAGAAAATATTGGCACCTGTGAGACTGTTTCTTCCAGGATTCGAGCAGCGATTGCGCGCCGATTTAACTTGATCGTCGGCGGGCAACCGGGGAGCCAAGAGATCGAGCTTGAATTCCAGCGATTGGAGCATAGCTAAACCATCTTGCGCCAGGCCGTTCAATCTGGGAAGAGAATTCGTTTCCTGAGTGGACGGTCCTTCAACACTAGCTCCGGATTTGTGATACTCTTCAGTCTTCGATCTTATGTGGATTTGCGTCTTAGCATAAGCTTCGTCCCATTCCTGCTTCGTCTTCTCTACTGCCTCCACCACCTCGTCCATCACAGCAAATTCAAGCTCTCAACTCCGTCCTTTTGGGCATGAGGAAAATTTGTCGGAAAAGAGATTTTAGAATTCTCGCGTTCAACCGGAGATGAAAATCGGCTTCTTTTACGGCTCCGGCTGGGAGTGGGACAAGGAAACAGTTTTGGTACCGTACCGATCCGGGATTTGGTCGGCAAATTTTTGTTTTGGGCTTCCTACTGGACCAACAGGCGAAAATGGGCTTCTCGTTTGTTGGCAAATTAAAATGAGTAAATTACCCGTGCCTCTTTAGGATATGGACAGTAACCAATATTTACTGATCTATGAGTAACTAAATATGGACCTTTAGATTTAAATGGGTCCAGAAAATTTAGATCTAAAGATTGTCAATTAAAAGTATTTTATTTTCACTAGTTTTCTTAATCGGCTCTTATCTTTTTCTTTCTAATTCGGATTTCAATTTTTTTTGCACAGATGGAACGAGTTCGTTGTGCTCTACAAAATGAGATCAATTTTGAATATATTTCGAGAAACTTTTTTTTACCAACTACATACCATATGATAACTTCTTTGTTCTTAATTCGTTTTTGAAAACGTTTGCTCATAATGAACGAGTTCATCATGATCTATTTTTTTTTATAGAAATACCTGTATTATTTCATTTAACTAGTAGAAATAGTACAGGAGTCTGCATTAAGCTGAGAAATGAGAAAATTGGGGGGCCTTGAAGCCCAACATTCGGTGCTATCCCAATCACAGAGAGTGTGGGCCATTAAGTGGGCGGCCTGATTACTTGATCGGCCAGAAAACCGTACTCTAACCGAGCCCACTTCCTTCAACCGGTCCCGAAGCTCTTCGCAAGCGACGCCCAGCTCGTTCATAACCATTTCCTCTCTGCTCAAAAGATGAACAATTCCCAGGCAATCTGTTTCCATTTCGCATCTTCCAAAGCCATTCTCCACCGCCATATCCAGTCCCCATTTGATAGCCAAGCATTCAGCCAAATCAGGAGGCCACTGAGTTCGGCATCGTCGCACTGCAGCGAAGCAGAACGATTTGCTCTTGTCGCGGATTACCATTCCAAAACCGGATCCCTGATCTTCAAAACAAGCCGCATCGACATTCACCTTGAAATCAGCTGCCTGTGGGGGTTCCTAGTGGTAAATCTTCTTGCCCTGTTCGCCGCTTTCCACCTTTTGATGTTCCATATACTCAGCGAGCCATCTCTCCGCTTTACCCATGATTTCGAATTCTTCCGATTTACGTTTGTTCCACATCTGACAGTTTCTCTCCTCCTAGATGAACCAGAGAGCCGCAAGGAAGTGACTAATTTGATCCTCAGGGGTCGATTCTTGAATCTCGGCCATCCATTGCTCACAGGTAAGCTCATTTCCTTTCTCAAACAGAGATTTTAGGGTACTAGGTCCCCAAACCCGTCGAACCCACCCACATTCTTGAAATAGATGTGCCTGCGTTTCCTTTAGACCACAGAAGGGGCACTCATCGCAACCTTTCTTGATTCTGTCCAGGACATTAGCTCCTGTAGGTAGAATATTCTTGATCCATCTCCATGCAAACACCCTTACTTTAGGGGGTATGGGTAATTTCCAGATCTGTTTCCAATTTATTGGGATATAGACTTCTTCCTGTGCTTGATCCTTCTTTTCCATCCAAAACTGGTAGGCTGATCGAACCGTGTATATGCCTGACTTCTCATGACACCAGATTCTTGTGTCTTCAGCAGGTTGTCTAGGGATAGGAATCTTCAAGATATGCTGCCGATCAGTAGGATTAAAATGGTGTTGAAGCAGTGAATAGTTCCAGTTTCTATCATCTAGGTTCATTGGTCCACACACTGAAGTAGTAGAAGCAAAAGGGGATATAGGGGATTCCACTTTGTGGGAAGGAGTGGATGGAATCCACTTGTCTTGCCAGATATCAATCTTGTGTCCATTTCCTACCCTCCATCTCAGCCCTTCCTTTAAAATCCTTTGTGAGGCCAGCACACTTCTCCAAACATAACTGGGATTGTAACCCGGTTCAGCTTCTAAAACATCACGGTTGGGATAATACTTAGCTTTGAAAATTCTCGCCAGCAGAGAATTTGGCTTCTGAATTAGATTCCATAACTGCTTCCCTAGGAGGGCTAGGTTGAACTCATGTAGGCTTCTTAGCCCTAGTCCTCCCTTTTCCTTAGGTTTGCATAGCTCCTTCCATCCCACCCAGTGTGTTTTATTCTTCTCATTCTGCTGTCCCCACCAAAAGTTCGAAATCAAACTCTGGATTTCATTAATGACTGTGCCAGGAACCAGGAAAACCTGCATGGCATAATTCATTTGGGTCTGAGCTACAGCCTTAATGAGTACTTCTTTCCCCCCATAAGATAGTAGGCGACTTTTCCATAGCTTAACTTTCCTTCTTACACGATCAACCAAATAACTGAACACAGCCTTCTTCTGTCTGCCCACAACAGTTGGTAGTCCAAGGTATTTGGAATGGTAGTCCACCGTTTTCATTCCCATAACTGCTCCAAGTTCCTGCCTCTTATCCTCTTTAACATTTGGAGTGAACGAGAGCTCAGATTTGTCTAGGTTAATCTGTTGTCCCGTTTCTTGTTCGTAGAGGTTTAGGATGGTTCTGATTTGCTCACACTCTTCCTTGGTAGCCTTTGAGAACAGAATGCTATCATCCGCGAATAACAAGTGATTGATCACTGGTGCTCCACCCTTCACTTTAATTCCTTCTATCTTCTTGTCCCTATCCGCTTTTGTCAATAATGCTGAGAGTCCTTCTGCGACAAAGAGGAACAGATAGGGTGAGATGGGATCACCCTGTCTGATTCCTCTGGTAGGGAAAAAGGTTTCCGATTGGTGACCATTGAATAGGATCGAATAGGACACAGTAGTGACACAATGCATGATCATTGCCACCCATCTCTCATGAAAACCCAATTTCTTCATTACTGCCTCTAGGAAATTCCATTCTACCCTGTCGTAAGCTTTGGAGATATCAAGCTTGGCTGACATAAAACCTTTTTTTCCTCTTGTTCTTCCTTTCATCGAGTGAAAGCACTCGAATGCCACCATTACATTATCAGTAATCAGTCGGCCAGGGACAAAAGCACTTTGGAATTCCGAAATCACTTCATTTAGAACCCCTTTTAGCCTATTCGCCAGTACCTTAGAGAGGATTTTGTAGAGAACTCTACATAAGCTTATAGGCCTGAAGTCCACAGGGGATTCCACCATCTTCTTCTTAGGTATTAGGGCAATTAGGGTGTGGTTGAGAGCTTGAGGAAAACAACCATCCGACAGGTACTTCTGCAGCTCAGCTGTAACTTCCTTTCCTACCACATCCCAATTTTTTTGAAAGAACAAAGCTGTTAGGCCATCCACACCTGGAGCTTTATTAGGTCCCATCTTCTTCAAAGCTCCCCAAATTTCCTCCTGCGTGAAAGGTTGTAAGAGCTCCTCGTTCATCGCCTGAGTGACTCTTCTTGGGATAGCCTCCAGGATTCTGTTTGATGGGGTAACATTACCTGCACAGAAAAGCAGCTTAAAATGGTTAGTTAGGCAATCTTCCAGCTCCTGCTGCCCTTCTTTCACCACTCCATCTGCACCCATCAGCTTTTTAATAGTATTCCTGTTCCTTCTATCAGAAGCCTTGCGGTGAAAGAAGTTTGTGTTCTTATCACCCCCCCTTTAGCCAATTAACTCGTGATCTCTGCTTCCATTTAAGCTCTTCCTGCCTCATGATATCATTTAGTTCCTTTTCTATTGCTTTCCTTTGAAGAACCACTGCTCCATTTGTTTTCTGCCTGCTCAACTTATCCAGTGCTTGCTCTGCCTTCAGGCGTCGAAATCTTAGGTCTCCAAACGTTTGCTTGCTCCAAGTTAGGAGCTTCCTTTCACAGTTACTAATTCTATCCAAGATTGATAAGTTATGGCCTTCCCCCCATCCATCAGCTACCACCTGTTTACACTCAGTATGATGTTGCCAAAAAGGTTCAAATCTGAACTGCCACCCCCATTTGACTTCTTGTGTTACCAATTTGGTTTGTAAAAGTATAGGGTTGTGGTCAGATCCACATCTTCTCAAATGATAGACCCTGGCATGGGGATAGAGTTCTTGCCAAGTTGCTGTAGCCACCATCCTGTCCAATCGTTCCTCTAAGAAAGTGTCATCAGTGTGATTGTTATCCCAGGTAAAGGTTTTCCCATAGTAGCCCAAATCCTCTAACTCACAGTCCTCTAGTGTGTCATTGAACATATCCATCTCTTGTACATTGGCCAAATTAAGACCGTTCTTCTCTTCATATCCCTGGATCAGATTAAAATCCCCACAAACTAACCATGGAATGTCTGTCATTTCCTTCAACTGTCGCAACAATGAGCATGTCAAATGCTTATTATCTTTTCCTGGCCATCCATAAATCCCTGTCAGCCTCCATTGCACGTCTCCATCTGTTACACACACATCAATATGATTGGTTGATTTCGATTTGACCACTACCTGAACCTCTGAACTCCATAACATGAGCAAGCCGCCTGCTCTTCCAATAGAACCAATACCTTTCCCATTCTCCCATCCCAACTCCTTCTTTACTGCCTCCCACTCATGTTCTTGTTTTTTTGTCTCCATTAAGAAGGCAATTTTGGGGTTTTCACGACGAAGCAACTGCCCCACCTTTCTAATTGCCAGGGGATTCCCCAAACCCCGGCAATTATAACTTAAGATATTCATTGGGCTGGGCGGCCCTGCTGCTTGGCAGGGTCCGCCACTTCGCAATCCAACATAATTTTAGTTTCTGCAGCCTTGAATTTCTTCTTTGGGGATTCATCCAACGTGTTTGAGGTTTGATCAATCCCCCTCTTCTGTGGGGTTAGGAGTATCTGACTAGAGAGTCCCTCTGATTGATCTTCCTTGTTCTGACGTTTCCATTTGGGTTGTTTCTTTGCAGGTTGCTCTTCTTTCGTATGACTCCCAAGATTGAACACCAAGCCTGACACTTCTTTCAGCTTGTCCGAGGGTTGGATTTCAGTCCTACTTGATCTTTCATCCGAGCCTGTACTCTTTAGATTTCCAACGGTCAGCTCTTCCTTGTCTTTTGACTGTCTAGAAAGCTCATTCTCACCTACTGTTTCCTTCCCCTGCTTTGTTCCAGAACCCGGTTGGGTTTTATAGTTGGCTGCTTCTTTGGCCACTTCCTCTTGAGCCTTTTGTAGCAGTAGTCGTCTTTGAATACTTTCCAGGCTTTCAGACTTTCTTGTTTCATTTGCCTTCGCTTCTTCCAGTTGCATCCTTGCCGTCACAGCTTCTCTATCAAACTTGGATCTTAATGCCTGCCAAAGTTCACCAGATTCCTCCTTTTCCAACTTACTTTGCCATAATTTAACTCTGGTAGTGTTTACCCTGATGTCAGGGCCAATCAGATCCTTTCCACTTGCTGGTGGGGTTGGACAGTTTAGCTTAGGGTGTCCCACCAGGCCACAGGAGAAACAAAACATAGGTAGCTTTTCGTACTTGACTCCATACGTGTGTATTGTCCCCTTTATATTAAGCTTCAGCTCCTGTTTGAGTGGAGTTCGAATGTCTTTCCCTATTCGAATCCGCAGGACATTGTTCCACACATTCTCTACTCGACTATCTACCCAGATCAGGGATCCAAAACGTGCTCCAATCTTATGTATCATCTCTGTAGTTCGTAGTGCTGAAGGGAGATCGTAGATTTGCATCCAGATGTCCATAGTGTTAAACTCTTCTATTGTTGGCTTGTGGAATATATCAGCGGGCTTGAAAATCAGCAGGTTATTCTCAAAATGCCATGGCCCTCCTAACAGTACTCTGTCTCTGTCACTTTTATTCATGAACTGAAAACCATACAATTGCTCTCCCGCCTCTGAGATTTGGAAGTTCTCTTGCAGGTTCCAGGCTTTGGTCAGCGCAATTTTCATCGACTTCAGATTTGGTTTTTTGGTGGTCACCAGCCTGCTACCAGTCCCAGAAGGCTTACGGCTTGGACTAGGGCACTGTCAATATCCTCGTCTTCAACAACAAGCGGGTCCTCATCAGCTAACTTGATCTGCTCTATTTTGTTCTGTAAACTCAGGGCCAACCCTTCTTGCTCAGCTAGATCTGTACTTTCAATAGGAATAGGTTCTGTTTCACCCTGCAAATTATCATTGAGGCTGCTAGTGTCCATCGCTGCAGGAAAACAACACAGTTTATTGAAAAGAAAAAGATCACTCCCTGACCCGTAATCGCTTGAGGCAGATTAGGGTTTCCAGTAAGGCGAGACCCTGAAAACTTGTGAAAAAAGCTTCCAGGAAACTCTCACTCAGGGATTCTAATACACAGGAGGCGAGTTAGAATCCAACGCGGACACAGTGATTTCTAGTCTATTGAACATAAAAAAGAGTATCAACGATCTTTGATGAACTAATCCCCCCTGCCTATAAAGGAGAAGAAAATTCCGCCGTCACACTGGAACCCTAGTTCCAGAAAGTCGGAAACCTAGTTCCGAGACTCTCGCTAGACGAGAGAAAAAACTGTATGCCTGTGTTCTTTGGGGGATAAAAACCTTCATCATGATCTATTGGATCTATAAATTTCTGGGTGAAAAAAAAATACTGGATAAAAAATTACCATACTTTACCACTATGGTATGTGGGTGGTAACTTGTAGTAACTTGTAGTAAACAATGATGAAAGTCGTAAATGACAGTTAATATACTCTACTATTATATATTCAACCTTCTTACCATATTGGATGTTCATACCATCATGGTACGCTTTCTTACCATATGGTATTAAATAGGAGCATACCATATGGTAATGATTGGTAAAAAGTTGTTCAATTTTTTTGTACTAAAATATATATCAAAGTGGATATCATTTTAAAGAGCACATTTAATCTGATTTATCTGTGCAAAAATAAAATTTCGACTTAAAACGAGAGAGAAATTGTCTGTTAAAGATTAAAGGGGAAAAAATTGGATTAGGAATTAGAAGATAAATAGAGTGTTAGGGATTGAGAATGAGAATTGAGAAAGATTTAGAGGGAAGAACAGAGGAAGAGAAGAGAGAGAAATTGGTCGCCGATTGGGCAGTCGAGGAAGAGAGGGGTTTGAGGCAGAACAAGAGAGAGAATATTAAGATTTAGATAATTGATCTGTATATTTTATTTAATGAATCCAAACCATAATTACAGAATATATAGACATACCAAATTCTCTCAACCTACCCATAATTGAACCTAATTACTCAAATATCAAATAACTTCCCCAATACCCCCAGACATCTCAAAACAAACAATGATCCAATTCAATCCAAAACAGATAAAAACCAAGTATCTTTCAAGTTTGTTCTTGCAATGTGGTTTCTCTGCTGAACGGTTGAAAATAAGTATGTAATTGGTCAAGTAAGTGTGTAGTACTCATGGAATTTGAGGAACATCTTGTTTGGGATGTCCATAAATATGCAGTGAAAAAACCAGGTGCCAAAGCTGGAAGATTGCAACAGATTTCATGGGGCATCAAGAAAGGAGTCTGAAGTAGTGGCCAAGAGGATTAAGAACATACCAGAGTTGGATGAAGCTGAAAATGAAGCTTTGAGGTCAGATTGCAGTAGGTTGTAGTTGTAGCTAGTAGTTAATTATGTGTACCATGTAAGGATTAGTGTTCTAAAGTATATGGACTAGTTAATAAGTTATTTCACCTTACAAATATCACACAATCAATTAACCCATCCAAACGATCCATTAGTTTGGGTCTTTGTCAAATTCTCATCTCACCTTGAGCTAAATAAATTTTTGATTGCCCGTAAAAAAAAAAAGAAATTACCAAATTATTGCAACAATAAACCTTTTGGATTTGTCAAAAATGCCATTTTTGGAAGTGACATTATGTTGCCCAAACTTGTATGTAATGACATTTGCGGCATTATGCGTTGGTTACTAGTGAATTAGTTGTCAAAAACACTACATACGATCGATGTTCGGGGTCGTTTGGAAGTTGCGATTGTTTTGTTGAGATTGTCATTATGCATGTATTGTTTACAATGCATCGTTTTTTATATTTTTTAGCAGAAACAATACATGGATTGTTTCTGTGATATGACAGAAACTATCACTCATTTTGAGTGATTGTTATATCTCAACTTTTAGTTGTGATTGTTGAGATAGTTGAGTTGAGATTGTTTTGTCTCAGCTTTTAGTTGATGCGACATACACAATCACACATACCAAACGTTGTATTCTACAATGCATCAAATTCGACAATACATGTATAATATTATACATGCATTCTCAACAATACATCTATTTAACAATCGCAACTTCCAAACGACCACTTCAAGTCCAGCAGTAAAGTAAACACTGCGCGCAAGGGATGATGCAAGGTGCCCAGTAAACGTTTCTAGCCTAGCCTTTAATCAATAGCAATTCATCATCATTATTCCAAACCTAAATGAAGGTCATAGGGCCGCAATTTCCAAGAGTAAAAGGTACCATCATTCATGAAAAAATGGGAATGTTTTCTTCAGCTCCTTCACCAATAACCAGTCTTCTTTCGACAGTTCTGTGTACAATTCACTCATTCAATTGATCCGCAGAGTATGCGGAAAATCATGTAACAAGAAACTGATAAAAAATTAATCTTCAACCACGTACCCGGAAAAATTCTTTCAGTATATCAATCGAACTTTTTGAAATGCGGCTCACGAGCTTAACTCACTTTAACCGGGTCGACATTAGGCCGGATACCCATTGATTTAAGCGTGTAAAACCCCGGTCAAATGACTAACCGTGAGTCTGTGATAGATAAGCAAAGACAATCACCAAAGTGTCAAAACCCATATGCAAGGGCGAGATAACAAAAAAAGGTAAAACTACCATAACCGTGATCGATAAGCGAAGGAAAGAATAATCAATAGACCATTAGGGAATGAAAAACGCATTTATCACCAAGTACAATAATCTTTTTCGAGTACCCATTGATTTCGGCGTGTAAAACTCGTTGTCGACACAAAATTCGTAAACAACGGGTTGAACTCGCTTTAGCCGGGGTCGATTTAAGCGTGTGAAACTCGTTGTCGACCCAAAATTCGTAAATATCGTGGTCAACTCGCTTTAACAGGGTCAAATTAGCTCGAATATTCATTGGTTTGGGTTCAATTTGGGCTCAATTGTCATAAGTTAATTAATTATAATTTTAATGACACAAAAACTCCTCCCTTCAATCTTTGGTTTATTACAAAATGATCACCCTTGTGATGTGACTCTATAAAATAGTAATTTTGAACTTGTTCTTTTAAAGGGTTAAAAATTAAAATTAACGATACATCTTGTTGTAGCTAAGCCAACCACGGGTTGCTTTGTGATTTTCCAAACAAGGTGTAGGATACTGAGAAGATAGTGGTGATACCCGATCACTACATCTTCACCGCCGGCGAACGTGCGAACCGCAACGTTGATATAGTGAGTGATTTCTGTCTGGAGCAGAATGTTAAGTACTTTTATGACATTCAGGAACGTGATGATTTCAAGGTAATCATCTCATCATCAGGACTGTCAAATTCTGTATGTTTTTTTTTTTGTATGAGCTAGCTAGCAAGCCGCTTTCTGAATATTGTTCTTCCTTTTGTTTTCCATTGCAGGCTAATCCTGATTACAAAGGGGTTTGCCATGTTGCGCTTGCACAAGAACGCCATTTAGAGGTGGCAATTAAGATCCAAATCCATGAATCCAATCCAATCCATCCACCAAATTATCCACCTAATCCAATCCATTTAAATCCAATCCATTTGATCCAAATCCAATTGGATTGGTGGATTCATGGATCAATCCATGGATCCAAATGGAAAATTACAATTTGGTACCTATATTTTTTATATTTTACATTTTGGTACCTAAATTTTATATTTTTATACGAAAAATATCATTGAAAAATTATATTTTGGTACCTAAAATTTTTCATTATGACATTTTAGTACCAAAACTTTTCAAATTTTACATTTTGGTCCAAGCCTTGGATGTCATTTGGATTCATGAATCAATCCACCAATCCATTTGATCCAATCCATGAATCCACCAATCCATTGGATCCAATCCATTAGATCCATGGATCCACCAATCCAATCCACGAATCCACGAATCCAATCCAATTGCCACCTCTAACGCCATTGCAGGCCTGGAGATTGGAGAAGTACCAAAATCCCCTTCCATCTCCATATTTGATTTCTATTGTTTTCTTTTGGGTGAACTGTTGAATCCTGTTTTTTCTTTCTCTCTAGGTACTGTTGGATACAGATTCGCCACTGGCATTGGCAAAACTGATGCCGGTTTCGTGTTGGGCACTGGAAAAATTCTGCTCAAACTATGCATTAAAAATTTTGAACCTTCCCCCCGCCTGATCATATATAGATTGTCTACAGTATGTGAAATAATGTTGACTTTTAATGGTTCATTGAAATTGCAGGTGCCTCCTACACTGAGATTCATTATGGATGGTGAGTTGGCTCATTATCTGTTGGCTAAGGATTTGATTTTGCAGATTATTGGTGAAATCTCTGTGTCTGGTACAACATACAAGTCTATAGAGTTTATAGGGACAACTAGAGGTGGCAAAGGGATTGATCCATGGATTGGTGGATCCATTGATAAAATGGATTGGATCCAATGGATTGGTGGATTCATGGATTGGATTAAGTGGATTGGTGGATTATCCATGAATCCAAATGACATCCTCAACCAAGTACCAACATGTAAAATGTGAAAAGTTTAGGTACTAAAATGTCATAATGAAAAATTTTAGGTACCAAAACGTAATTTTCCAATGATATTTTCCATATAAAAATTAAAATTTTGGTACCAAAATGTAAAATATAAAAAGTATAGGTACCAAACAGTAATTTGCCATTTGGATCCATGGATTGATTAATGAATCCACCAATCCAATTGGATTTGGATCAAATGGATTAGATTTAAATGGATTGGATTAGGTGGACATTTTTAATGGGTTGGTGGATTGATTGAGAATTGCCATCTCTCGGGACAACCATTGAAAGATTCAAGTGTGAGTTACTGATCTTTTGGACGACTGCTCAGTTCCATGGATAAAAATTGTAACTACTGTTTTTATTTGCAGATGGAAGAAAGGATGACTTTATGCAACATGGTGATAGAAGCTGGTGGAAAGAATGGCGTCATTCCTGCTGATGCCACTACTTGTAGTTATCTTGAGGTTGTGGAAACTGGGAAGTGAACAATTGGAATTTGGTTACCAAAAGGACAGCTAGGATTAGTCGTCGGATAATATAATTGTTTTAATATTCTGTTATCAGCTCAGAGCAGCGCAAAGCCACAGACTTTCTCACTTATTACTGATCGCCCAAGAGGAAAGGCGGTCAGAGGCAGACTTGCGGTGCACACACTACTCCATTCAGCAGTCCGAGCGCATGTCGGCAACTACTAGCTCGGTTGGTGTCCTGTTCTCGTGTGCTTTCACTGTGATTCCTTCTAGTCATCGGTTCGATTCTGTTCATTTTGGTGGTGGGAGATTTTGATGCAGGTGAAGACTGCTGTGACAATGACTGAGAAAATCTTGGATAGGACTTTTGAGAAGACCCATTTGAGTTCCGGTGAAAATGTTTGGGTAAACGTTAATATCTTGATGACTCATGATGTTTGTGTCCCTGATTCTATTGGTATCTTCAAGAAAGAATTTGGGCAGAATGCCAAGGTATGCGTCGTCTCAACTTTAGTTGTTTTGATGTTGTTGGTGTCTTTGTGTACATCATGCAGGGGCGGACCCAGGGAGTTTTAGGGTGTCCCCGGACACCCCTAAATTTCGGGAAAATGATTATCCAATCCCGGTGGTAATTTACGTATAGACAAAAAAAAAATAATAGTGAGGGACACCCCTGAAATTTGAAAAAATGATTATCCTACTATCATTTGTGTATAAAAATATAAATGGTAGGTTGGGTAATTCAAATCTAGAACACTATTATTATTAATAAACTTAATTTCCGTTGAACTACAACTCATTTGTTGTTCGATTTTGAACAATGTGTAATAGTAAAAAGTCATTCCCTATCTCTAATTATTTCAATCTAAACTAATTTCAATCTACCCTTAATTTGTATTGATTTTATGATTGTACGGCAAGTGTTGAAGAGTCTTTCAGCTTTGGGTTACATCAAGAACAAGTTTACAAATCGAATATGCGATAAGTTCCTGAATGATTGTCTAGTAGGGTATATAGAGAATTTTTGTTAACACTATAAACACCAAGTGTATTCTACAATTATTTTCGAATATGAAAACACATCATGGACTTTTTTAACCTGTACGAGTAAGGTATTTTCATATTTACGATTTTATTTTTATTAATTATTTTTATTTTTATTAAATTTATTTTTAAAAAGATGACACCCCTATGGAAAATTTCTGGGTCCGCCACTGACATCATGTGATTCTAGTATGGATTTGTTTTTGAGCCAATGCTTTTGTCTGGGGTTTGCTTGTGCACAAGTTAGATCAAGTGTCTGGTTTAAAATATCTGATAAGCACCAGGCTCACTGTCTATCTGAACATTGAAGGTTTGGGACCGTGAAAAGATTGTGATCATTCCGGATCATTATATATTTACCAACGACGAACGTGCAAATAGGAATGTGGATATTTTAAGGTTGGTGTGAACAAGTGCAGGGATTCATTCTTCCTTCATTATACCTCTCGCACTATCTTCAAATGTAACAATTCTAATATCATTGCTTTTCAGGCTAATCCTGATTACAAAGGGGTCTGCCGTATTGCACTTGTACTGTTGGAATATCCCTTTTTAATTTACCTTCTTAGGAAAGAAATTAACAATTCATCTGCTTTCAGGTCTTGTTAGGTACAGACTCACACACCTGTACTGCCGGTGCATTTGGGCAATTTGCCACTGGAATTGGCAACACTGATGCTGGTTTTGTAATGGGTGCTGGGAAGCTCTTGCTTAAGGTTGGTGAAATGGATTTGACGGGGACTTAGTTTTTCTCTGCCATAGATTCATCTGTCATTTACATCGTTTGAAACTTGTGCTTAGAGCTGCAAATAATTATATGTACTATGTTTCCCTTGCTTCTGAAATTTGCAGGTACCACCAACTTTGAGGTTCGTAATGGATGGGGAAATGCCTGACTATGTACTTGCTAAGGATTTGATTTTGCAAGTGAGTTTGAGATGGGGTCTGGCATTTATTTTCTTACATAAATTGCTTGTGATTTGAAAACACTGATATTTTGCCTATTTTCAGATCACTAGCATATTACCCGGCCCGTTGGCCGGATTACTGTATGTTACCCACTTGTGGAATGGGAGAGAAAGCAAGTGAGAGTGAAGGGATTGGGATTCCACTTGATTAGGACCGACCCACTAATCCAATTCTTCCCGACCCGCCCCAACCTACAGGGTCAGAAAGAGTCAATAAGAAAATACGAACGGGGAGGATTAGTCATATATCTTTACTCTTCAGAAGTGGGTCAAACAGGATCAAGGTTGGGTGAGGGCAATTTTTAGCGCTAAGCAGAGTTCTGGGTTGAATACCTTTACTTAGGCCTAGAAATTGGTGCTGATGCAGACTGCAGTTTTTATTATACCATCATCAATCATCATTGAATTAGTCCTGGGCATCCATCCCCGTTGTCGGTCTGAATTCTAATGATGGCTTCATTCCTTGCACCAGCCATATCAGCGAGTTGCCATCTCGAGCATGATTTGCCTATGTACAAATAATACAATTAGAGTATGAAAATGAATTCAATGAAAAGGAAAAGAGAATTCTATCACATGCCAATAAATACACACATAATAGTTGAAGCTAAGTGAAAGTCATTACTCGCACATCAATTCTCAAAAATTACAGACTAAACATTGGCTAGAATGGCACTGAAACTACCAAGAATCATGGACGAAACAACTTGTCAAATTAAATAATCCTTATACTGAAACTACCTTCTAACTTGAAATAAGACATGATCACAGTTCATAGCTCTCTTCTCACTATGAATTGGTTGCTGCTCGTCCTTATCACTGCCTCTCAAGCTCAATTCAAACAGAATAGAGACCGTTATGTAAGATAACCATATTCTTACCGATCATAATTCCTTTCTTCACTCCATTTTTGTCGGAGAAAAGAGTTATCCCCCTCTCCTGCATTTCCCTTTCCCCCTCTCTTCTCCCTCTTCTTCACAAACCGATCCCTAAACCAGCAACAACAACACAAAAATAGCCTTCGCCTCTCCCGTCTCCATCTATTGAACACGTTGGTGGCAAGACAGGACTGCAGAAGCAAAATTTTCTAAAATCAAACTAAATTTTTTGAAGCAAACTCAACCACGAAAAAAGAGTAAAGCAACAATGCAGTAGAACCCTAAATTTAACTACAATCAAGCACATATCAGCAAGATTTTCGATTTGTCTGAGAGTTAACTACACGGAGAGAACAATTGATGCATAATTGAAATGCTCCAAGCAAGTTGAAGGCAAACCATAACTTTAGAATTTGGTCATTATAATAACCTTCAAGTATTGATGCTTCTAAGAACTATCATGTCCAACCCCCACTTATACAACTACGTAGCCATAGTAATTAGTTGTATAATGAGAAATATTACAAAGAAAACTATATAAACAACCAATGTAAGTAAATATTAAAACTAACAACTGATAAAACTTAAAATCTCTCTATTGGTATAAATGTATCTATTAGTAACTACTATGCAATCGAGTATATATGATTTTTAGGCACTGAATAAGAAAAGTATAGATGGCTCACAAATGAAGACGTAGCAACTGAAGGTAGCACAAAAAAACCAAAAATAGAAAAAGAGATAAGAAAAAAGGCGAGAAAAAGTCAAACAAAGAAAAAGCCCACATAGGAATACCTCGCTAACTTTAGGGACTCTCTGCCACAACAAACAACCTTCTTAAAAATCTAACACACTGAGACATCAAACAAACCTCCCACGACACTAATGTATGGCATTCCTATTGTCCAATAGGTTTGCCCAATTTAGACTTCTAAATAAATGGACTTTTCACCATTAAACCAAAACTCACAATCATTAACAGTTAATGCAAAGACATACATTTCTGAGGGCAATCACAGCATTTAAGCATAATTTTTAGTTGAAAAGAACAACTAAGTATTTAGCTAAATGATATAGTAGAATGGACACAATCTGCTACCTACTAATGATATAAACGTGTACCGGTACCATCGTTGTATCCTGACTTGCCATTTGCAACGGGCACTTTGAAAGACAGCTGCATTTTAGAGAATAAACACCCATAAGGGCGTTACGAAACCAAGCTTAATCCAAAATCTTCATATTCCACTTCGAAGACTCCATTTTCAAAAATAAGAGAGTTTAACATGTCAAATCACTCATTTGAAAAATCTCAAACAACTATTAATCAATGCAATATAAAGGCACGTTCCAAATTATGTACTTGTAGGAATAATCCCAAATAATTATCAATTAATGCCCCAACTACCTAATGTGCAGAATAGCCCTGGAGCTGTGCTGTTGTTTGCGTTGGTCTACCTTCAAACATAACATAGTTGCATCACGAACCAAAACAATTAAGCAAAAATCTTCATATTCCAAGTAGAATGACTCAATTCAATTTGGCCAACGCTTTATACATATTGTTTACCCCTGGACCTGTTGCACTTGCGCCTTCAGATCTTCGTGAACACAATACAATTGCGGAGAGGAGGCTGTCAACGGAATAAAAATTGTTAATTAAGTGAATCACCATACAACTAAACAAACGCGCTCTTCTTGATTAGCTATCAAAATAGTGGGGGTCGCTACGATCCATCGGTTGCTCCCTCTGCGCCTAAGTTGTAGATATTAGGTTTCAGTGAGAACTTTGAGTACATGAGGAGATATTTTGTAGTGGAGGAGATGACCCGGCGAGTAGAATAGGAAGATTTGGAGAGGCTGCGATGGGCAAAGCAGTTAAAATCGAGATTTTACCTAAAATCGAAAACTGGGGTAAAATCAAAATCGTATAATCGAATAGTAAAATCGTAGGATTTTAAGTACCATATAGAACATAGCATATAAGAATATTAATAAGGTAAATTATTAATATCACATAGCATTTAAAATGATAATTCAGAAGATTTTTTTTTCATAAGATAATTCTCAAGATTAATGTTCCAAAATCACTATTTTAATTGTTATTTAATGTGTAACTCAAAATAATTCATGATGAAGGGATATAGTTCATGGGTTTGGCTCTTATTTTCATGTTATGTCTAGGTTGTTTAACTCAAAGTAATATTTCGACATCGTCTACTAAGTATGATTTAAAACTAAAAATAATTGAACTCCAATAAAATAAGTAATGTTAGTGGCTTGGTACGAATATATTCATTAATAAATTAATTAGTTAATAATGATGTTAGTTCTTACATACTTCCAATATTAGGACAGGTGTTTTACCAATAAGTTAAATGGGGTGAAGGGAAAGAGATTAACCGAACCCTAATTTGGTTATTTTTATTATTTTTGAATATTTTCTAATAGAAAAATATCTGAGAAGATTCCATTGCCCTTTCCGCTGAAACAGTTATACTTATTTTAAATTGGCTCAAACCACCTATTTTGTTCTCTTACGATCAAAATCCCGATTTCGGTACTATTTTACGATTTTAACGATTTTAGTCCCGATTTTAAACGATTTTAAGGTCCACCGATTTTATAGTAAAATCAAGATCGGAATCCCTAAGTAAAATCCTAAAATCCTACGATTTTACGATCAAAATCCCGAATTTGACTGCATTGGCGATGGGTGCACGATTAGTGGGCCAAATAACAGTTTGAGCCCGTTTAAATGAAAACATATTTTTACTTTCGTGCTCAACAGACCGACCGCACTGGCATCTTCTAAATTTACCCCTAAAAAATTGCTCTGTACGCATCAAATTTGAAATGGAATCCCTCTTTTCTCATTTCACATTTCACATTTATATGATGTGTAGATTGTGATGAGTGTAGATGTAGATTTGTCATTTTCCTACAAATTCATTAACATGCCAAAAAGTGGTGAAATGAGCCACCCTATTAAACACAATCTTGTATAATGATCATTGGATCCAATCATGCCAGATTATGAAGAAGTTTAAAATGTAGCGGTTATCCCGACTAAAACATTAAAAGAACCAGTCTCATATAGTTTGCACAAAGATATAATTTCTCCATAGTAATTCTGAAAAATAATATTAATTTAAGAAGTCGATATTGCTTCTACATGTTTAATATTGCAATTCGATATGCAATATTCGAACCAGTGATATTTGGGCTGCAATTTTAGGGTTATTGTATATTTATAAAATAGATAGAAATTTAAATTAAGTATTAAACTACAACTAAAATAATCAAAGTATTAAAACACCAAATAAGTACTTACGGGAGATTCAGTGGCCAACTAATCGTTAAAAAAGTCATATGATTTTCATAATTTAGGTTCGTGTATGTTTGAATTTAAATAGATACAACAAATATACTTAGTTTGATTGGTTATGATCCTTGCTTGCCTTTAAAGAGACCAAGGTTCAAATCCCAGTGCATGCCTTTTTTATGAATAAATAAATAAATAAGAAAATAAGCAATTGTGAAGACAAAAATGTCCTTCCTATAATCACTCTCGTTGCAGGAAATTTGAAATGGAGCAACAGTTTTCATCATTCGGCTTTTATTTATTATCTAGATTGGTGAAATATCTGTGGATGGTGCAACATACAAATCGATGGAGTTTGTTGGCACAACTGTTGAGAGTTTGAATGTAAGTGATCCTTGTAATGTATGGTAGGTTTGATTGTTGTTAACTATTACTAGTTTTTTGGACCCGCGCTTTGCTGCGGTGAAAAACTAATTTTATTTTAAATTAAATTAGTTGATTTAATAAATTAGTTGAAATTAAAAGTTCAAAAATAGTTTGGGAAAATACTTCCTTAAGTTACTAATAATATCATCTATGATTGGATTGTTATGTAAAGTTAACTTCCCTTCCAATATTTATGTACAATGCAAATTAATGAGATGATTAATAGTTTAGTTAAATTTTAGGAATTTAATTCAAATTTATACCACGGAGAATTTATGTATTATATTTATTTAATTGATACATACAAATTATTATCCCTCCATAAGTTTTACGTAGTGTATTAGT